AAGTGAAGACGAAAGGCTTGTGGGCCACACCACGGATGGCTGTATTTACATCACGACAGGTACAAAGACAAGAATTACTTATTCTAATCTTAGAATTCATATAAAGCAGTATTGTGTAATATATTTTGTTTTTCTTCTTTTTGTTTTAGAGTCATTACTCAATGAAAAAAGCTGCTGCTTTTCTTGGTATCGGAACGGAAAATGTTTTCATTGTACAAGTGGACGAGAGGTACGGATTCTTATCTCTGTCATATTTGGGAAAACCAGTGGTTCTCTTTAAATTGTTAAAGGGATAGTTCACTTTGAAATTAATTTTTGGTATGTTTTAGCTTACCTCAAGGGCATCCAAGATGTAGGTGTCTTTGTTTCCGCAGTATTTTCAATTTTGATATGTTTAAGAGAAGTCCAAATGAAACATGATTTAATGACTCGTAAATGTAAGTACACATTGATGGCCTAAGACACGAAACGAGCGGTTTGTGTGAGAAAACGAACAGTATTTATATCGTTTTTACCTTTAGTAAGAAAACGAACCTTTGTGAGAAAACGAACAGTATTTATATCGTTTTTACCTTTGGAAAAAAACGATATAAATACTGTTCGTTTTCTCACACAAACCGCTCGTTTCGTGTCTTAGGCCATCAATGTGTACTTACATTTACGAGTCATTAAATCATGTTTAATTTGGACTTCTCTGTGCATGCTCTTTGAGGTGGTGACCATAGACCTGCATTATATGACTGATAGATACGAATGATTTAACCTAAAAATGTCAAAATTGAAAATAATGTGGAAACAAAGACGCCTACATCTTGGGTGCCCTTGAGGTAAGCTAAAACATAGCAAAAATTAATTTCAAAGTGAACTATCCCTTTAAGAAAGTTTCTTTGTTTCACCACAGTGGCAGCATGATACCAAAGGACCTGGAGGCTAAAATCCTGCAGGCAAAATCACAAGTAAATATTTAAATTTATATGGTAAATTAATACATTTAATATACAGAACCATTTCAAAGTTTGGGATCAGTAAGCTGCTTTTATATGATAAAAAAAGGACAGAAATATTATTACAATTTACTTCAAATAAACACTTTCTATTTTAATATATTTTAAAATGTAATTTATTCCTGTGATGCAAAGCTCAATTTTCAGCATCATTACTGCAGTCTTCAGTGTCACATGATCCTTCAGAAATCATTCTAATATTCTTAGTGCATTTCTAATTAAAACGGTATTAAAATACTTTTAAAATCTCCAAACGGTTGTGTATATTATACTAAAATGAACTATTATGGTTAACTGAAATATTGTGTATGATTGAGAACATGGTTCTCTATATTATTATCTCTATCTCATTCCTTCTACCTTCCGTGAAATTAAAAAAGGAAGTGTTTTGCTGAACGCCCAAGTTGTTCTTTTGCATGAATTGAAAGCAGACAGTGACCATTAAGACTTCTGAAGACTCTTTTGAGGAAGATCCCTAAATACATTTCTGCTTTCTTTATAAATGACAAACACAGCGTGAACTTTACGCAAAACAGTTCTGTGGAAGAAAAAAAGTCATACAGGCTTGGAACGACATTAGAGTGAAGACATGCCAAGAGACTTTCTTTTTAAATGTTTGCATGAGCTATCACTTTAAATATCCAAGAGTCAAAGGTTAACGGTGTTTGTGTCTAATGTGTTTCCTTCAGGATGCTGTTCCATTTTTTGTTAATGCCACAGCGGGTACCACAGTGCAGGGCGCCTTTGATCCTCTGAACCACATTGCTGACATAAGTGAAAGAAACGGCATGTGGATGCACGTCGACGTAAGTTAGCTTATGCAACGTCATTGTGCAACACATCTATATGCTTGTGGTATCCAGTCGTTTGCCCTTGAAATATTCACATAGCATTTCTCCCAACTGTTACAATCTATATTTCTGTCCTTTACAGGCCGCTTGGGGAGGAAGCGTGTTGTTTTCCAAAAAACACAGACATCTGGTTGCAGGACTAGAAAGGTTTGAACTCTGCACACTCTGAGCTGATGGAAAAAAATGTGCTTTGAATAGAGAAATAGCCTGAATGAATCATTTAATATTTCTTTTTTTTAACACTCAGAGCAAATTCCGTGACTTGGAACCCTCACAAAATGCTTTTAACGGGTTTGCAGTGCTCTGCGGTTTTGTTCAGAGATACCACGGTATGAAAGCTTGTGAAATGTAGCAAGCACATTTTTTACTTTTAAGCACATGCAAGTCAATTCATGCAATGTTTATTAGTCAAAAATGAAAGAATTATATTCATTACTGAACCCACAAACGCATGTTTAAAAGTGCAGTGCACTCATTTTATCCACTGCGTCTCAATCTGTAGGATTTACTAATGCACTGTCACAGTGCAAAAGCAACCTACTTGTTCCAGCAAGACAAGTTCTACGATTCAAGTTTAGACACCGGAGACAAATCCATCCAGTGTGGCCGAAAGGTGGATTGTTTGAAGCTCTGGTTGATGTGGAAGGCAATAGGAACGCACGGTCTTTCAGAGCGAGTGGATAAGGCCTTTGCCCTTGCAAGGTATTTGATGCATCGGTTGGATGTTGTTGTTGTTGTGGTTGAATAATACATCATCTTTTTTTTTATGTTGTATATTGTGGAACACTATTGACAGTGTTGACTCATATTATTAAATGCATTTCAATATATTATTAATAAATGCAATACCATTAAAAGCTTAGGGTTGGTAAGATTTGCAATTTTTTTTTAAAAGCATTTTGAAAGAAGACTCACAAAAATGCTCCCAAAAATACAGTACAAACCGTTATATTTTGAAATATTATTATGTTTTAAAAAATATATATTTTCAAAAATGCCATTTATTCCTGTATTTAAGCTGAATTTTCAGCATCATCCCTCCAGTCTTCAGTGTCACATGATCCTTCAGAAATCATTCTGATATTCTGATTTGCTGCACAATTTTTTTTTATTATTATTATCAATGTAGAAAACAGTTGTGCTGCTTAGCATTTTTTCAAAGTAAAAAAAAAATTGTTTTTTTTAATGAATATGTTCAAAAGAACAACATTTATTTGAATTGGAAACTTTTGAATAAAATAAAATAAAAGTATATTTTAAAAAATAAAATAAAAAGTACTGACATTGAACCTTTTTTATAAAACTGTAAAAATGTAATATATTTGTACAATATTTTAAAAATAAAATAAAAAGAACGGACACTGAACCTTTTAATAAAACTGTAAAAATGTAATATATTTTTACATTATTTTAAAAAATAAAATAAAACGGAAATGACACTGAACCTTTTAATAAATCTGTAAAAAGTAATATATTTGTACAAGATTTAAAAAAATAAAATAAAAGGGAACTGACACTGAAACTTTTAATAAAACTGTAAAAATGTAATATATTTTTACAATATTAAAAAAATAAAATAAATAAAATGTACTAATACTGAACCTTTTAGTAAAACTGTAAAAATGTCATATATTTTTACGATATTTAAAAAAATAAAAAGTACTGACACTGAAGCTTTTAATAAAACTGTAAAAGTGTAATATTTTTATGTATTTATTTTAATATATTATTTATATTTCCACCAGTTATTTAGTTGAAGAAATGGAGAAAAGGGCCAATTTCCAGCTGGTCTGTAAGGTACAGTGTTGCACTGCATACAAACCTAAAACAGTATTCTTATGCTTATGTAAATATAATTCATGTTTATACATTTCTCAATGGTGTGTTTTTTCCCAATAGCGGCATTTTGTGAACGTTTGCTTTTGGTTCATTCCACCCAGTCTGAGAGGGAAGGAGAACAGTGTGGATTACCAGGAAAGGCTATCAAAGGTCAGCTTCGCTTGATTGTTGATGTAGCACAGAATTGAATTATTACACATTGAATTATTGCATGTCATTTTCAATGTACACCATCAGGTGGCGCCAGTCATCAAAGAGAGAATGATGAAGCGTGGAACAATGATGGTGGGATACCAGCCCTTGGACGAACATGTCAACTTCTTCCGTATGGTTGTTCTTTCACCTCAGCTGACCACCAAGGACATGGATTTCTTTCTCGATGAGATGGAGAACCTAGGGAAGGACCTGTAATTAGTTTGAATATGAATGGTCTACCATTACCCCATCTCATCTGTCACTTTTCAATTTACGATTATCTAATGGTTGCAAAAACTCATTTTGACTTATAGGCAGAGCATAATACTGACTTAATTGACGAGGATTGCAAAAAAGTTTGCATCTACAAAGGTCATAACGTGAATGAATCTCATAGATTCTGGTCCACATAAGGTCCACATAACACTACACTAAGTTTGGAATAATAGTTCTAATTAATAAATTTTTAAAAAATATTTTTTTAAACAAAATCATTATGCTCACCATGGCTCCATTTGTTTGATCAAAATGCTGTAAAAACTTATATTTTTAAATATTATTACAATTTTTAAATTATATTTTATATATACTTTCTATTTTAATGTATTTTAAAATTTCTGTGATTTAAACAGAATTTTTAGCATTATTACTCCAGTCTTCAGTGTCACATGATCCTGCAGAAATCATTCAAATATGCTGATTTGCTGCTCAAGAAACATTTTTTTATTATTATTTATTTTATTATCAATGTTGATAATGGTTTTTACCGCTTATTATTTTTGTGAAACCTGATACACTTCCATAAAAAAAAAACTATTCAGCAAGGACACATTTAATTTAACAAACTTGACAGTAAAGACAATTATAATGTTACAAAATTTCTATTTTAATTCAATGCTGTTCTTTTGAATTTTTTTATTCACTAAAGCAGTTTTCAAAAAACAGTTTTCAACATTAATAATAATAAAAAATGTTTCTTGAGCAGCAAATCACCATATTAGAATGATTTCTGATGATCATGTGACACTGAAGACTGGAGTAATGATGTTATTTTAATTTGTAATAATATTTTGCAATATTACTGTTTTTACTGTATTTTGGACAAATAAATGCAGCCTTGGTGAGCATAAGAGACTTATTTTAAAAACATGGACAACTGAATTATACCAAACTTTTGACTGGTAGTGTAAAATGATTTACTGGCGGAAAGCATTTCTGATTGGCTAAAGCTTGGGCCGGTCCCCTCTTCAGAGCCTAGGGCTGTCACAGAGACAGGTGTGATTTGTTAGGACACTCACTTCAGTGATGTCTGTCAGATAATAGGGTGATTTTTTTTATGTGTGCTGTTCCAAAAAGTAGATTTACATTAAGTTATGCAAAAGATTTTTATTTTAGTGATTTAATTTGATTTGTTTTGCTGTCCAGAATTTAATAAGGATATTTTAAAATTCAGATGATTATATAATATAGTGACTAATAATAATTTGTGACTGTCATTTTGTTTCGCACAATATATGGGTATATAGGTCATATATAGGTCAAAATGTGATAGGCTGAATATTTTCCTTAAAAGCTTTCCTTTTGTTTTATTTTGCTTTGTGATTTGTACATTAAAACACCAATATTTGTCACAAGAACGTTTGTTTTATAAAGAATACAAAATATGTTTTCCCGTTTACAAAGTAATTTCGCAAGTAGCTCAACATTTAACATAGTAATATTAATAAAATACATTTCTTCATAACACTCGTGGACTTTATTTACACCGGAAGCTTGTAATCGTTTGCCAGTGTGGTGATCACGTGACACACGCTCTCCCCAGAGAGCACTTCCGGTAACGTTTCCTGTGTTTGTAAACTGAAAAAAAAAAAAACTGTTCGACAAGAAAATATTGGGCTACGGTAACAGAAGAAGAGTAAGGTAAAACAAATACGTGTAGGCTGCAATACTACGCTTATTAAACATATAACAGCATTTAAGAAAAGACTTAATCGCTCTGAAATGTGAAGTTAAATAGACGGTGAACTCACGCCCTGTTGTGATGTAGGATGAATGGAGTTCACATCAGTAACAGTTAACGTGTTAACAGTTCAGACTGAAGAAGAGTGAATTTCACTTATTATTAAGATATTAAGATTATTATTATCTGAATTCACGCCCTTTGTTGCTTTTAACCCGTAAACACCTGAATTCTGTTCCACAGACACAGAGAACAAACATAACGCATTATCTATACTTTATATTCAGACATGCTGTGAAATGTATTATTATACATTATTTTTTATGATTCAGATTAATGTAATAGTTATTTCTGGTGTCCATTACAATGAACAGTAGCAACGTCCAGATAACTGTACACATGGGTTTGATAAGTTAATAAAGGAAACTTTAAATACATTTGTTACAATGGTTACAATTTAAAAAAAGGGTTCATTTGCTAACATTAGAAAACTACATTAGTTATCATGAACTATCAAATGAACAATATTTTGTAAAGCATTTATTAATCTGAGCTGGTTAATCTCAGCATTTACTAATACGTGATTAAAATCCAAATTGTATCTGTTAACATTAGAGAGACATGAACTAACAATATACAGTCGTATTTTTTACTAATTAGCCTAATGTTAACAAAGATTAATAAGTACTGCCAATTGTTAGGTAAAATTAGTTAACTAACCTTAGCTAGTGGAACCTTATTGTAAAGTGTGTTACCGATACGTAAAAAGAAAAGTAAAGTTAACGCTAAATTATTGTACTTTTCATGTTTTAATTGTTTTTCTAAAGGGAAATTGGCAACATTTTTGACAATAAGGTCCCATTAGTTAATGCGTGTTTCACTAACAATGAGCAATACATTTGTTACAGTATTTATTGATCGTTGTTACCATTAGTTTATAAATATACAATGGTTCGATGTAGCTCAAGTCCATTAAATAGAGTTAACAGACACCACTTTAGTTTTAATAATTTATTAGTAGGCTTAATGTTGAAATTACAATTTAGTAAGCCTAATAAATGCTTTAGAAGTAATTCACATTGTTTATGTTAACTAATGGAGTTTGAACAAATGAAATTTGAAATGTTTTCTTTGGCTTGGTTTGCTTTAGATTGCTTTCTGTTTGCCATGTGATAAGACTGACGTAATTTTATTTTCTATGTCCTGAAATGAATTTAACCTCCAGGACCCTGTTGGTTGCCAAATCAATAATGCTATGGAACATCACAATATACAATATTCACCCACTCACCTTGATCTATATGTCTTTTGATTTATTGCAATCATACTACGTTAATTTTGTGCAGTGCGCTATCCATCCATGGCTTCCATGCCTCATTGTATTCATTCATGTATATTTGTGTTCATCTGGATCTTTGAGGGTGAGTTAGTCAGACTAATGCACGGGAATTAGCAGTGGAAGGGAAGATGGTGGTTGAAAGAAATCTGTTTATAATTCCAGTGAATCCCAGAATCCGACCAACCAAATCCAAAATCAACATGGCATAGACGCTCGGATGTATTCCTAGGATTTCGGTTTGAAAGAACCAATGAGAATCCACTCCACTCGGTTTCAGTTTTGAGCTGGTTCGTTTCCAGATGTCATTTAGGGACTCTTGACGCCTGGAAATGTGACTAGCTGAAGCCAAACTCTTACGGCTTTAAAAACACAGCCCTATAAGCCTGTACAAACAAAAGCTTGGCAATACAGACATGGAAAATGTCTGATTCTAGCGAATAAAAGCCGTGATTTGTCCACGGTTGACAGCTTCTGTTAGTGGTGGGCTGGATGTGTGGCAACATCATAGACAGAGATGGATATTACCCTGGCTTTATATCCCCCCCTTCTGTTTCTAGGCTTGGGCCCCTGATGATTGGGGCTTGTGTGGTCTCTAAACATTCTCGCTGCCCAGAGCGAAGCTCTCTGTACCCCAACACACACACACACACACACTCTCACCACAGCGATGTCACACCTTTCCAACAGCTCAGTGCGAGATCACATGAAGTGGGTCAGTGTTTTTTTTTTTCTTCTTCTTCATTTGCATTTTCTGCATTTGTCCACATTTGATTTTAAATGATATCCTTCATTTTCCTTTGATTGACTTTCTGTGTTTTAACATTTTGTAATTCACTTCCACAGCCTGACTCTTGTCTGTGACACCAGACTTTTACACAGAGTGTTTAAGTGTAATGGGATAGATCTCACAGAAACTGTCAAGAATGTGTGTCAGTTACAAATCATATTTTGCATGAGGAAAATTAAGCATTTTTTAAGACCATTTAAGTTTTTAATGATTATTTTCATGATAATTAAGCACACATTTATACATCATACTAGTATTTATACATCATATTAGTATTAATTCAGTACACTGAAAAATGTAACTATTGCTATAATGGGAATCATCTTTTTAAATGATGTAAATTAGATTTACACTGGACTGAGAATTTTTTAATTTGCTTAGTCATGAAAATGTCATAATGCAAAAATCTTAATAATCCTAAAATTATTATTTATGTAAATAATGTATTTTAGGATCATTAGAACAACAATTTTAATAAATGTTTATTATATATGTATATTATTATTGCTAATGATTACATGAAACATAATATATAATGCATAAATCTTAATAATCCTAAAATACTTTTAATTTTATTTCTGTAAAAAAAATATTATTATTACAGTTCTTTTTATTATTCAGTTATTTTACAAATATATCATGTATTTATGTAAAATATGTAGTGATTTATGTAAATCACTACATATACATGACACATAATTTATGTAAATAATAAAAAATCATTAAAAAATTGTACAAATACAATTAAAATTAAGATTTTTGTATGATAATATTTTTGTTGCAAAACCAAAAATAATAACAACAAATCATAATAAATTATTAATTATTATTATTACTAAATTGTGTGGTATAATTTTCCTTGTGCATGTTCTTGACATAATCGCACTGTGACCTCTGAATTAACTTGACAAATCTTGACTGAAAAGTATTAGTAATGTCTTAAACTGTGTTACATTTGTTCCAGATTTCAAGCCAAATTTCCAACCCATCAGATTAGTGACTTGGAGAATCATTTTTAAAAGTTTAATGTTTGTGTTTCTCACAGGCTGGGTTGCTGGGCTGTGAAGCGGTGCTGTCCAGCATGGCACTCATGCAGGCTGGCTCCATGTCCAGTCATAAGAAGATGGGCTCTCATCTGGGCCAGGGACAGAGAGAAAACCATCACAGCCACAATCACAGCCAGAACCACAACCAGGACACACACAGCCAACACGGCCACATGGTGCTGCCCTCTGGAGTCAGCTGCCCACCACTTGTAAGAGAAAAAAAAGACACGGATCACATTGTAAAAGAAAGTCATATGGGTTTGGATAGGTTTTTAATTTGTTTGGTAAACTATTCATTTAAATGTCAAAAAAGTCTGGAACTGATGCTAAAGGGTCATGGGCTCAGTTCCCGGGAAAATCTCACATTGCCAAAAGGCATTTCATCATTATATAAAAGATTCGAGTAAGATTTATTTTCATTTTTTACTTTTAAATACTTTAATTCAGCAAGGATCCATTAAATTGATTGAAAGTGCCAGTAAAGACACTTATACTGCTATGAAGAATTGCTTTTTAAAAATAATTTCAAGCATAGGCTTTATATATATATATATATATATATATATATATATATATATATTCATTATAGAATTCTGAAAAAAAAAAATACATATCATGGTTTCCACCAAAAAAAAATGTAAGCAGCACAATTTTTTCAAAATTGATAATAATAAATGTTTCTCGATCAGCATATTAGAAAGGATCACTCTGAAGACTGGAAATTCAGCTCTAATTGCAATTTAAAAAATATATTAACATAGAACAAATATAAAACACAGAAATTATTTTACACGATTACTGTTTTTACTGTATTTGTGGTTTGTGTATTTAAATTCTAGATGCTGGATATATTTTGTTATAAGAACTTCTGAAACAAATGATTTAATGTGTATGTTAACATCGAATAGCTTAATTGTTATTTTTCATTCAATCCGGTGACCTACCTATATTCTCTGTTGTTGGGGCAGCTCATCCGCAAGGATGGAGAGTTTCACTCATCCAGGCTCTTGGATGAAAAAAACATGCAAGCCAGACAGAACGTGCAGCCAAAGAAGAAGAACAGGAAGTCTGGACTTCCTACCAAATTGAGAGAAAAGCCCCAGGCATGTGTTCAAATCTATCTTCAGGATTGCCCTGCTGCAAGGGTGCCTGTTTATCACATTTACACACTTCTGCTTGCATTCGTATCCTGACTGACTGCTCTTTTCTTCTATATGTGACGTGAAGGTGGAGATTCCTGAGGTTAATGACGATAACTCACTCAGCTCTCAAGTGCAGAAGAACTTCATATGTGAGCACTGCTACAGTGCTTTCCGCAGTAGTTACCATCTCAAACGCCACATTCTCACCCACACGGGTATGCCTCTAGCCTTTCCGCTCTCACATCATCTTACGTTTCATGTAAAGAGATGCATTGAGTGAACGTGTGTACATCTGTGTGTGTTCTAGGGGAAAAGCCATTTGGATGTGATATGTGTGACATGAGGTTTATTCAGCGCTACCACCTGGAGAGGCATAAGCGTGTTCACAGCGGTGAGAAGCCTTATCAGTGTGACCGCTGCCAACAGGTGAGACGTGACAAACACAGGCAGTTGTATTCACAGAGAGAGTGCTATTTGCTTATTACATACATAAATGTATGTTTTTATGATGACGGGCATCATAATGGGAGCTTGTCGTTATGCAGGCTGCAGCAAATGACATTCACAAACCATTTTACATTCATAATATGGCACATTTCTCAGTGAAACACAATATTATCCATCAGGAATCGATTTGATCATGAAAATTGTTTAAGTTGCCAGAATGGATAGAGGTGGATGAAGGGGAGGAGCTTAAAAATAAGATAACTTGGTGATGCTGGCTAAAAAAGAAAAGTTGTTTAAGAGTAAAAGCAAGAAATTACAATTAAAAGAACAAATTAATACATTTTTGTCTGGAATGAAAAAAAAATGTGCACAATAAGAACAGAAACATCAGTGAATTGAAAGTAAATATGGTCAGTTTTCATTTCATGTTAATTTTACCTTTATCTTGTTGCTGCTGTCACTTTGACAGCAGATTATTAACAAATTCATCTTAATGCATGCACTTTTATTAGTGACTTTGATTGATTTATGTCATGCTGGCTTAATTTATGATTTAAATTTATGATTTATTCAGCCTGATTAACTGTGAAATGGTACTTTCTACTTTTTTATTCGTATGGTTTCTCAAAGTGTTTAAGATTAAGGATTAAGTTGAAGATTACGTGGTTGCAAGCCGTTAAACGGACTGGACTGATGAAACCTGCGATGATTGGTCTACTATTAAAGCATGAATTTGATGTAATCAATAGATGTACATAATATTCACATATGCAGTTTATAGGGGACATGTATTACAGCATGAAATGATATTTAAACCTATAACATTTTGCATACTTTTTTTACCTATTACATTTTTATCTCACAATTTTTCTGTATACCCTTTTCTTTTTATCTCCCTTTAGTTTGTATCTCCCAATTCAGACTTTATAACTCATAATTGCGAGTTTATATCACAATTATTAAGTCAGAATTGCAGGATTTATCGCAATTCGGAGGAAAAAAGACATAATAAGAATTTATCTCGCAATTCAGAAACTGGACACACACACCACCATTCAAAAGTTTGGGGTCAGTAAAATTTTTTTACTTTCATTTACCAAGGATGCATTAAATTTACCAAAACTGACAGTAAACACATGTTAAAATGTAAATAAAGTTTTCTGTTTCAAATAAATGCTGTTATTTTCAACTTCACAACTGTTCATCGAAGCATGCTGGGGAAAAAAAAATGTCACGGTTTCCACAAAAATAATAAGCAGAAACCTTTTAACATTGATAATAATATTAAATGTTTCTTGAGCAGCAAAGAAGGATAATGTGACACTGAAGACTGGAGTAATTCAGATTTACATTTTACAATATATTTGTACAGAAAACATTGAAATAATATTACTGTATTTTTGCTTAAAAATAATAATTTTGTTAAGTATAAATGTCAAAAACATAAACATTAAAAATATAACTGACCCCAAACTTTTGAACGGTAATGTGCATTTATATTAAATGCACTTTAAAGCCTGGTTCAGATTACACAATTTTAGCCTGATTTTGGCACGTTTGACGTAGGGTGTTCATAAACGACAACGGGCGTCGGGACGCAAGATTCAATCGTATTCATCTCGTATAGTGTGTCATAGTGGGCGACAACCTACGTCGCGTCTGCGATGCTTCACGACAAAAAAGACTAGCATGTTTAATTTTTTTTAACGGGCGTCCACGACGGTTTCGTCACATGTATGAGGTTGACCAATAGAAGCACAGAAGTGAAAAATGGCGAAACGAAAGAGAGACGATGGTGCTAACGTTAAAACTAAAAGTAAAAATATATAAGAAAACAATATTTTACGTCTCAAGTTCTCTTTGGAGGATTGACGGCCCATACTGTCCTCTTCGAGCAATCCAGGAACGTGTCCATTGTCGGGTTTTCTTTCTTTTTTAACTTTTTTCTGAACACAGAACAACCAATACAACACTCACCGCTTCATCCATTGTTTGTTTACGTTCGTTTCCGGGAATCACTCTCTACTAGTTTCGCATTCTCGATGACATCACGTGTAGTCTTGTCCACGACAAGATTTTAGGAGTCAAAATCGCGTAATCTGACACAGTGACCATCATAACAGACTAAAAAAAAAATCGTGTATTCTGAACCAGGCATAATTCATATAATTGAATACAACCAAATAATTACCCATATTTACAACACAAGAACACCCTAAATGGCATGCGGGAGCTTTTGACTCGTAGAATCAGTGAATCAGTTCATTAAAAGCACATCCAAAAGAACCAGTTCATTAAACCACCTGTCTTCTCTCTTCAAAAATGGGACTAACTCCGAACCCCTTCTATCACACAGAACTTTTCCAGAACCGACCGGTTACTACGGCATCGACGTTTGTGTGCCGTGGGCATCCCTAAAGAGGAGAACCAGCCGTGCTGTGAGGGACGGCCATATTCTCAGGACCCCTCCCAGCACACGGCGTCCTGGAGCCCACTGCAGACAAACAACAGCAGGCTGGCGGTGTGACCGCTTTCCGATCGCTCGTACAAACCTCTTCCCAGCAAACACCACCTGAACGGGGGGTTTGAACCTGTAAACTGTTTAAAGACTCTGTCCAGCTCTGATCGTGCGGCTCAACCCCAGTGGACTCTGGGAAATAGCATATTTTGTATTTTAGATGGTACTGTGATCAGCAGGCGGGTTAGTTGTGCATTCAGTCCAGGCAATAATGACGTCCGGTAGTTTAGAATCACTTCCTTTTGTAGTTCCCTTTGGAGCGCTGTAGATCTCAGTGCTACAATATTAACCTGTGAACATCTTGAGTCGTAGCACGTGGCCTTTTCGATCAGAGAAGTTAGCCGTAGTGACAGTAGACGCATTCTGGTAGGATACGTTTTCTCAGTGTGCGCATCAATTAATCATTTCCTATTCTCATTAAATACTGTGACCATTGACCGTTTTACACGGGCTTGTTACGGTTATAGCAGAAACATCTGGAACATCATCCATCCTACATCCACAGGAGAGCTCATTTTTTGTGAGCTACATTATGGTGTCAAGCTTTTGAAGTTGGCCTTTAGGTCAACATGAACACTGACTTTTCTTTGGGTATTAGAGAATGGATGACAAATTTCGTCACAGTATGATGTGACTCATGCGGGAAGTCTGCTAGCATCTCAGTTTCTCTTCTAAAAGTCACTGGATCGACAAAGCCGAGCCAAGAATAACAAAGCAAACCTTTTAACAGGTTGTACAGTTCATAGAGAGACAGATGTTTATATAAAAACCGCTAGTTTATCGCAGAGGTCTCGTTATATGTTTCATATTCCGTCAACCTCGGCCCCTGAACACGGACTTCTGACGCAGTTGAGCTTGAGTTAATATATTTTTTCAGCGTTTTAAATAATTTAATTAGAAACCGTAGTAGTATTAGACGGCAGTTTCACTGTATTTTTTTACATGTACATTTTGCATGATCCCTTTCATTAAGTGCGTACCGTAAAAGGTTCTTGTATTGTGATTGTTTAAAATACACTTGTTTTTGTAAGAACATTATTTTGATCCATTTGTTTGGTATTTTTTTTTACCAATCTCTAACACGAAGTTTATTCTTATCCTGTTAGACACCTTTTAGTGAGGAGCTAAAATTGACAATAAATTTTCTTTTCTAAAAAAAAAAAAGAGATGCAGCTTCTGTTTTACTCCACACAAGCTTATTTGTAATTTTTATGTGCTTGTTTTTTTTTTTATGAACTTTTTGAGCATGGTGCTCTTTGTTAGCACAAAGACTATGAATTTTTATTCAAAAAAAGCCACCACAGGGAGTAAATTGATCAAATGTATACATTGAATGCACTGCGAGTTACTTTGGATAAAAGCATCTGCTAGGTAAAAAGTCGGTAAAAAGTATTTTATTCTCACCAAGGCTGCATTTATTTGATGAAAAACAATAAAAATGGTAATATTGTGAAATATTACGGAAGAGTATTGAATTCACTTGAGGAAAAAAATCTACTCTGTTTTTCTGAATCAACGAGTTAATTATCTCAGAATTACGAGATTTGTTTTACTCTGTTTTTCTGAATTAATGAGTTACTCATAATTTTTGAGAAAATTAAGTCATTAATTCAGAAAAAACAGCAAAAAGTTTTTTCCATGAAAAATTATCTCGTAGTTATGAGATAATTCACTCGTTAATTCAGAAAAACAGAGCAAAAACTTTTTTCCACTAAAAATTCTCATAGTTATGAGATAATTAACTCGTTAATTCAGAAAAACAGAGCAAAAACTTTTTTTACCATGAAACATTATCTCGTAAATCTGAGATAATTCACTTGTTAATTCAGAAAAACAGAGTATATTTTTTTTCTCAAGTGAATGCAATACGCTTCCGTAAAATATTTCTACAATTTGAAGTTTTAATTTCAATATATATTAAACTATATATTTATATAGTTTAACTATATATAAATATATAAACTATATATAAATATATTTTAAACTGTAAGTTAGTCTTGTGAGGGCAAAGCTGAATTTTCAGCAGCCATTAGTCCAGTCTTCAGTGTCACGTGATCTTTTAGGAATCTATTAGCAGTGATAAACAGTTTTGCTGCTTAATATTTTTGTGGGAACTAAACTTTTTTTCAGGATTTCTTGATGTTTAGAAAGTCCCAATACGGCACTGCATAAATGTCTTTACTGCCACTTTTAATCAATTTGATGCATCCTTGCTGAGTAAAAAATAAATCTTTCAAGCCACCAACTATTGAAAGCTAGTGTGCATGCTTACCAGCAGGTGGTGTAATCCACCAACTTTCATTTTGTGCCAAGTCATATAAATCCTAAAAGTCCTTAAAATGATTTACCAAAGTTTTTTGGTATTTTATTTCCGCCGTCATCATTCACTACCTACATTACTAGCATATATGTGCCTAGATGTACATATGTGGTCTACATGCTATATAAATTACACTGCAGTTTCTGTACGATCCAGTAGAGGGCGCTGTGTTCCTTGGCATGTAAATATTACTAATGTCAAAATAATTGGGACTAGTGTAGTAGTTATACTCGTTTAGCTGTATTTTGACTGCAGACAGCAACTAACTCTATGAAATATGACTTTATAATGCATTTACTAATGTATTTACTAACCCACTATATAAGCAACTTTCATTGTAGTTTGGGAATATGATGGAATTACTTGCATTGGGAAAAAGAGCGTAATGCTGGCAAGACGAACTTATATTTCCAGTAGAAATGTAATGGAGTGAAACGTTCAAGACAGAGCTCAAGCCGCATTGCCAGCAAGGGAGACAGAGTTAGACAAAGAGTCTGGCTCTGTGTTGCTTCAGAGAGGCCGTAGTCCTCTCCTCTCTAGCCTGACTGCTGATCCTGATTTATAACACCCGTGGGCTGAGAGCACTTAACACACTCGCTCTCAAAGCCAAGGCGGACGAGAAGAGAATTTAGACATGGCAGTGCTACGTTCATACAATTCGAACGGTTAAGAGAGACCGTCAAGACATTGTCGAAGGTTGGCTATGTAGCACACAAATGTTGCATGTGCAACCATACCGGCGACACATTATTATTTGATGTTCAAATTAGGCCTACCTAATTTCACTACCTTATTTGCAACCCTCCTCAAAACCCGTATCGCTCACGTCAAATCGCGTGTAGAGCACTATTTAAAGTTTAATTCATAGATTAATCAACCTTCTAGACGCCGCTGCAGCCATGTGTCCTTTACATGTTAATTAACAGTGATATTTAACCAAGCAAAGGTCACCGAGGTTGCCATCTTTATTAAAATTTCAGTCGTCTCAGATAAAGCAATCATGAGGTACGGATTAATACAGTGGGTCCAAAATGATGGAAGGAAGTGTTGCTCTTTCTTTTGGAGTGGTGTTAAACATATGGGCTGTTTAACGTAAATTTAAACCGTCAATCTACAATAGATTTTGAACTATTATCATTGTGATCTTGAGATGTTTCAGGGTCTGAGTGTGTAATAAGTTTAAGGCCTTATAGCCGCCGGACATTCAGGGGCTTCCTTCCAATTTTCAGATAGTGGATTATCAATACCAGTATGGTTTTTTCTGTCACCAAAATTACCTTTGGTTTCCCTCTAATTTTGAATATTGGTTATTTTTCATATATTTTGAATATACTTCATCCCTGTAATGCAAAGCTGAATATTCAGCATCATTACTCCAGTCTTCAGTCTTTTTGTGAAAACCGTGGTGCGTTTTTTTCAGGATGCTTTGATTAATAGAAAGGTCAAAAAGAAATAGAACTATATATATATATGAAGAGTTCAGATGCAAAAGCCTCTAAATGCCATTTGAAATTTTCTTCTAAAATGACCATTTTTATCAAGCTTGCATATTTAAGTTCAGTAATTTCACTTAAATGACAATTAATAGGTAATCTTCATTGCCATTTAAGTGAAATTACTGAACTTAAATATACAAGCTTGATAAAAATGAGTATTTTAGAAGAAAATTTCAAATGGCACTTAGAGGCTTTTGCATCTGAACTCTTCATATATATATTATAAATTATTATAAATGTTTTGCTGTCATTTGATCAATTTAATGTGTTGATCAAAATATTAATTTAATAAAAGCATATATTTTAATCATGGTCCTCGTGGCTGAGGATATGTGTCGCTACAGAATTCATTGTTTCTCGGTATATATATATATATATATATATATATATATATACATTGCAGATTTTTGTTAGTAGTTTTTTTTTAAATGGGGGATAAAGAAACAAGTGTGAGGGAACAAAACGGCCTTGGAGCTGATGAAGATTAATTAACCAGCTGTTTTTTTGTTTTTTTTTTGCCATGTGTTCTCAAAAGAATCACTGTCACGACTGCTGATGGCAAACCGGGGAATTCAGAACACACTCTTTGACCTACTTTTCTGTCCAAATAATTCATGAATATTCATTTGAAAATTTCACTTTTTGTGCAATGGCACAATTAGTTTCCTTTCTGCACTTTTGCAACCCTCACACAGAGCAAACAGGAAATGATAAATGACAGCCTCACATTATTCTGACTGCTGTTGTGTTTAATGAAGACAAAAGAAATAACAGTGTTTTCTGCTGTATCGAAATCAGGATCAGCATTTGATTAACCCAGCTTTAATTAATAAAAGCTGCCATGACGGGCAACATATTGGCACTAAGTTTTAACTAGGTTACACCACAGTTTGCAACTATATATATATATTCAAGAAACAAAAACAACTGTGTGTGTGTGTACACTAACATTCAAAAGTTTGGAGTCAGTAAGAATTTTCTTTCATTTAATACTTTTATTTTTTCAGCAAGGATGCATTAAATTGATCCAAAATAACAAAATATTTTTTTTTATTTGAAATAAATACTGTTCTTTTGAACTTTCTATTCATCAAAGAATCCAATACTAATAATAAGAAGAAATTATTAAAAATCAGCATTTCATAATGATTTCTGAAGAATCATGTGACTGAAGACTAGAGTAATGATGCTAAACATTCAGTTTTGCATCACATGATTAAATTACTTTTTAAATATATATATAAATATGAAGTGATATTTTAAATTGTAATAATAGTTCACAATATTACTGTTTTATGGTATTTTGATCAAATAAATGCAGCCTTGGTGAGCTGACTATATTTGAATGGTATATTTAATGACACACATGGTTGTCTAATACCTTGTTATATGGTATATTGCAATGAATTGCTAATTTGCTATTATTTTGACTAGATAAACTAAATCATTGATTGTGACAATATACAGCACTTATTATGAAAAATGCATCATCATCATGACCATTTTACATATTTAAAAACAACAGCAAAAAAAAAGCAATGTCAGTACCATACAACAGCTTTCATTTCCTCTTGCCCTTGCTGTTATGTTTGAAGATTCCTTCGTCGAACTCCTTAAACTCTGTTTTACGAGGGAAACCCAAAGTGCCGGGACCGGCTCAGTTGACCAGCGCCTCATTGTCAAGATTTATCTTGCTCGAGAGTCATCCACATTCCTGATGACAGGACGAATGCCTCGGCGTCCTGCCGAGAGCGTTAAAATCACTCTCATGCTGAAGCACATTTTGCCTCGACAGATACATTAACATACAGTGGCCCCGCGCCACCCCATCAATCTGTAGCTTGTTGGGTCCCACCATGGCTTCTTTGGGCCTCCCTGTAGAAGTCCATAGGTTTGACTTGGGCAGTGGTGGCCCTCTTTGAGTCAAGTGTCCACAGATGATACGGTCCAGGTCACTGGAACCTTCCGGAGGCCAAACTCAAACTCAGTCTGGATGCAACTAGCGTGTAGACTCTTAAAAATAAAGGTTCTTTATTGGAATCAATGGTTCCATGAAGTGTCCATGAAATCTTTTAATTGCTCAAAGTGTTCTTCAGATTATTAAATCTTTTTTATACTAAGAAAAAAGGGTTATCTGGGGAACCTAAAATAGCTGTGAACGCTCCTTTTGTGTAGATGTCGAGTTTGGGTTTATTAGCTGTGTTATTTAATATTTCTGTGCT